GCAAGATCAAGAACATCATGAAAGGAATCGACAACGGTGCATTCCAAATGCTTGCTGCGAGGAATCCTCAGACTGTCGCCGAGGTGATTCAGCTCTGCCAAAGCTATGATGAGCTGCGTAGGCAGTGCGCTTCTACACGTTGCGCTGCTCAAGACACCGCGGACATCTCATCCCTCGACTATCACCATGACACCACCGACCACTTTGCGTTGATGCCATTCATAAAGCAATTCATACGCGAGGAGGTCGCTCGGCAGCTATCTATAATCACACGAACTACCGAGCCGATGGCACCCTTGTCGCCTTCGCTTCGCCAGGTCATTCAATCGCAAGTTGCCGAAGCATTGCCGCCAGCTCAGGCTCCCCCAACTGTTACCGCACCACTAACGTATGCAGCCGCAGTTGCTCGGCCAGGTGTGCCAGCGTCTCCGGCCATCTACGAAGCTACTCGCCACGTTTATTCGTCGACGCCACCTGCCCACTCGCTGACCATCCCGTCTCCTGCTGTATACGAAACAGCTCAGAACGTTTATATGACGCCGCCGCCTGCACGACCATTTACGGTACCTTATTCAGCGAACAGTGCCCCTACCATCAGCCAATGGCGCACTCCGGATAATCGGCCGATATGTTTTTCATGTGGCGACCCAGGCCACGTAGCTCGTCACTGCCGTCGTCGCAGCTTCCCTTCTCATGACATTGCAGGGGCCTCACATTACATGCCCACCATGCCCACTCAGCCGCGATATCCCGTTCCTGCTGATCCACCTCTAGACGTACGTCCCGGTCACCGACCATCCGGCTCAAGCCGTTGACCTTCTCCTCGTCGTCGATCTATTTCTCCAATGTTACGTCGCAACAGCCCACCACGAGGGGAAAACTTACGGTCGCAGTTCCGGAGGCAAGAACTGCATGCGTTGGCAGCGAAAATTTCAAGATCTAACTGTTGTCGCCCCAACGAAATCGAACTCTATATTGATGGCATTAAGGTGCACGGACTTGTTGACACTGGAGCTACCGTATCTGTATTTAGCGAGAAACTGTGCCGAAACTTGAAGAAAGTGACCACTCAACTTACCGACCTATCTTTGCAGACAGCTACGTCCCATCATGTTCAGCCTTCAGCTTTGTGCACTGCACGAGTCGTCATTCAAGGTGCGATGTACGTCGTCGCATTTGTAGTTTATTCCGTTCTTCACATGACGCTATCCTTGGGTGGGACTTTCTTTCGTCAAATTCTGCTTTGGTCGACTGTGCTCGTTCCGAACTCGTGTTATCTGTGCCGTGCTATGACCCCGACGATGGCGCTTCGTGTAGAGTGTTTGCTGCTTCTGACGTTGACATTGCGCCTTTATCAGCTGTTGTTGTCTCGGTGTCGTGTGCCTCCCCTCCGATATCGCCTGTGTTGTTTATGCCATCGGTCACATCTGCGTGCCGTCGAAATTTCATGCTTCCGTTTGCCGTCGTCGTTTTTCGCAACGGTCACGCTGCCGTTTATGTGTGCAATCCCTCGGACAGCCCGTCATCCCTACTACGTGGAGAATGCCTGGGAAGCTACGAACCTTACGAGTGCATTCTTCTGGCTACTATACCCGATTCTACGGTTTCGCTCCCAATTTGTGCTGTCACTCCTACCAACGCGCCTAATGATGTTCTGGACGTATTCTCGGATGCCATCGACTCTGAGCTCACACCAACTCAGCGCCAAGAGATTATAAATCTTCTACTTCGTTTTCGCTCTTCATTCGATCGTGACCAGTCAGGCTTAGGCCGAACCTGTGTGGTCGTTCACCGTATTGACACCGGTCAACAAGCCCCGCTAAGACAGCGTCCGTACCGTGCCATCTGCTGAACGCCGTGTCATCGACGAAGAAGGGGACGACATATTGAAACGTGGCATCATCGAGCCCTCCAACAGTCCCTGGGCTTCACCGGTTGTTCTCGTCAAGAAAAAAGACGGATCTATCCGGTTCTGCGTTGACTACCACCGACTCAACAAGATAACGCGCAAAGACGTATACCCTCTGCCGCGCATCGATGATGCTTGGGACTGCCTACAAGGAGCAGAGTTCTTTTCTTCGTTAGATTTACGCTCCGGCTACTGGCAGGTGCCCATGGCAGAGGGTGACCGCCCGAGGACAGCCTTTGTAACACCGGATGGACTATATGAATTGCCCCGCCGTGGTGGTCTAGTGGCTAAGGTACTCGGCTGCTGACCCGCAGGGCGCGGGTTCGAATCCCGGCTGCGGCGGCTGCATTTCCGATGGAGGCGGAAATGTTGTAGGCCCGTGTGCTCAGATTTGGGCGCACGTTAAAGAACCCCAGGTGGTCGAAATTTCCGGAGCCCTCCACTACGGCGTCTCTCTTAATCATATGGTGGTTTTGGGACGTTAAACTTCACATATCAATCAACTATATGAATTCACCGTTATGCCCTTTGGCCTCTGCAATGCGCCTGCCACTTACGAAAGGATGATGGATACAATCTTTTGAGGTCTGAAATGGAAAACGTGCCTCTGTTATTTGGACGACATTGTGGTATTTTCAAACGACTTTGCGACCCACCTCAGCCACCTCGAGCAAGTTCTTAACGTGCCTTTCCAGGGCGGGACTTCAACTTAACCTGAAAAAAATGCCACTTCGGCGCTCGCAAACTTGTAATCCTCGGCCATGTGGTTTCTAAGGACGGCATTCTCTCGGACCCTACAAAACTTAATGCAGTCGCGGCGTTCCCAAAACCAACCACCATCAAAGAGCTTCGAAGCTTCTTCGACCTATGTTCGTACTTCCGGCGCTACGTGCGCAATTTCGCTTCCATTATAGCCCCCTTGACCAATCTTCTTGCCGGAAGTTCTGATTTGTCAGCGTGGTCGCAGACGTGTGATGATGCATTTCAGGAACTCCAACGGCTCCTCACCACGCCTCCCATACTCCAACATTTCGATCCGTCTGCTCCAACGGAGCTTCATACGAACGCTAGTGGTGTCGGGCTAGGGGCCATACTGGCCCAACGCAAGGATGGCTTTGACGAGTACGTCATTGCCTATGCCAGCCGCACCCTCAGTAAAGCCGAGAAGAATTACAGTGTAACTGAAAAGGAGTGCCTCGCCATTATTTGGGCAATCGAAAAATTTCGGCCTTATTTATATGGACGTCCTTTTGATATTGTAACAGACCACCATGCGCTTTGCTGGTTATCTTCACTAAAAGATCCCAATGGACGGCTCGCTCGTTGGGCATTGCGGTTACAGGAGTTCGATATCCGTGTTATCTACTGTTCTGGTCGGAAGCATTCCGACGCCAATGCCCTGTCACGTTCGCCATTGGCTTCAGAGCCTGTCGGCTCGCCTATCTCCACCAGTGCTGCCTTGGCCATCAGCATTTCGGACATGCCTTCCGAGCAACGTAAAGATGCTTGGATTTCTTCTCTTCTGGACTTTCTCTCAAACCGGACGCCCGCTCCAGTTTCCAGGACGCTTCGCCGTGAAGCAGGACACTTCGCTATTTGGTATAACCTGCTTTACCGCCGAAACTACGGCTCGATCAGCCGTAAGTGGTTGCTCGTAATTCCCCGACATCTGCGCTTAGACATCTGCGCCACGTTCAACGATGATCCGCAGTGTGGCCACGCTGGTGTGTTAACAACATACACTCGCTTGCAGCTGTGGTACTACTGGCGCGGTATGTACCGTTTCGTTCGCCGTTACTTAAGTTCTTGCCTTACGTGCCAGTGACGCAAAATGCCTGCTCAACATGCCACTGGTTCCTTGCAGCCGTTGCCATGTCCAGCACGAGCTTTCGATCGTGTCGGAATCGACCTTTACAGTCCGCTTCCCTATACATCAAGCGGCAACCTCTGGGTGATTGTCGCTATCGACCACCTAACGCGGTACGCTGAAACAGCTGCGTTACCTTCTGCTACCGCAAAAGATGTTGCATGATTTATACTGTAAAACCTGGTTTTAAGGCATGGAGCACTTCGGGAGTTACTAAGTGACCGCGGCCGCGTTTTTCTCTCCGATGCCATCAAAGCGTTGTTGAGTGAGTGTCGCATCATACACCACACTACCACAGCCTATCACCCGCAAACTAATGGGATGACGGAGCGTTTTAATCGTACACTTCGAGATATGCTGGCCATGTACGCTTCATCCGACCAGTCAAATTGGGATAGCATACTGCCTTTTGTGACATATGCTTCCAACACTGCAACGCAAAGCACCACTGGATTCTCGCCTTTCTTCCTTCTTTATGGACGCGACCCATCATCAACAATGGATACCATTCTTCCTTATCGACTGAACCCTTCAGAGATGACTATCGTTTCTCGAGCAGCAGCACACGCTGAAGAATGTCGGAAGCTTGCTAGTGCGTTCACGTCACATGGCCAGACGCACGAAAAACATCGCCACGACACATCAGCCACGCCTATGAACTTTGCTCCGAACTCACTGGTGTGGCTATGGATTCCTTCTACTCCTCCAGGACTCTCCCACAAGCTTTAATCCAGGTACCATGGCCCTTATCGAGTTGTACGCCAAACATCCCCTGTCAACTACCTTGTCGAGCCGCTAGATGCATCTCCGGACAAGCGCCGTCGGGGACAAGAAATCGTACACACCTCTCGGCTCAAGCCATTCCATGACCCTTCTGTGTACACCTGTCCTTAGGTCGCCAGGATGGCTCCCTCATCGCCCGGGGGTGATTGTAACGAGGGCAGTGGGCATGGAGCTCGAGTAGAAAAAAAGAAGACTTGCTGTGATCGCAGGCTTGCGTTCAGTTAGCCCTTGCGCTAAATAAAGCTCTAGTTCGCCGAGTCAACTCTTGCTTGTTCTTGACCCGTTAAAAACAAACAAACAAACAAACAAAGAACAGCCGGCCTGCAGGAAAGGCGTTGTATCTGAGTCTCATTCATTACAATGGCGCAGTCGACAAAGAAGTGTTACGTTCATGCTTCGTCGTCCAGGACACCCGCCAATATGCAGCCGCGGTAAGCGCACCTTGGGTACGGCGTCCAGGCCTCCTCGGCAGTTGTTCACCTGCCGTGACTGCCACCACCGTTCGGGCACGGCGTCAAGGCCTCCGCGCCAGCTTCAGTACAGAAGTGACAAGGGACGCCGTCCATGTGTCCCTAGCCATGAATCCTGTCGTGAGCACCGCGACCGCACGTGCTGTGCGAACTCCACCCATGGTGCATCGGAAACCTCAACCGACAGCAGCGCTGAGTTCTGGCGTGCCCCCACGCAATTGTCCCACCAGCTCGTCCACTTGGCGTCATTGAGCTCCGGATTTTGTCTGGCCGCGTCACCATATAATGCTCTCTCGGAAGTGCCGCAGTTCCGAGGCTTCCAGGATGACGCTGATAAATGGGTGTATACTATCAACGCCATCGGCTCTCGACATGCCTGCCCGAAAATTATAAATGGCAGGTGGCCATTGCCCGCATTCGCAGCGCTGCCGAGGCGTGGCACAAATACGAGGGCATCAAGTTACTGACCTGACTGTAATGGAGGGCCAGGCTCATACAGTTTTCAGCTGGAGCCACGATGAAACATGCTCGCGGAACTGAGGATGGAGCTAAGGAAGAGCACGTCCTCGCGGCTGCACTTAAACACTGTGGCTCATCGACAAGTAGTTTTGACTTTCTGCCTCGCAACAACATCTGACTCGGCTGGTTCTCACACCCAGTCCAGAGAAACGACCTCCCACCAAGTTTCGGTAACGGGGCCGATAAGTGGCACCAGCACATGCACGACAACAAGCCGCCCAATACCCAACGTGGCGTCTTCTTACGGTTAAGTCCGTGTCGACGGAATCGGCGAGCTCACGGCAGTTGTACAAATAGGAGCTCCCCGAATACATTCGACGTCATACCCCGTTCACCCTGCAGCATTGGTCTCATGCACCCTTGTGTGTTCTCAGCGGGGGCGTGTTGCCTGTCAGTGCATTGATCTGAAGATACACACCGAAGCCTGGAGTAAGTTTTTGCCGCCGTTTCTACCCTCAAGGACTTGCATGTGGACATGGTTTTGTGAGCTGATTACCTCTTGTCAAGTGAAGTTCAGCTCACCATAGCTCACCATAGATGGCGACCAAGTAAAGCTCCGCTGCTTGACACCGATCATTCTCTAGTTTGCGAAATTCGCAGTTGTACAACTGCAGTCACAGGCGTCCAGCAGCGAGAGCACCCTCAGTGACCAGCTGGATGGAGACCTGCCTACATCACGGCAGTCATTGGCCGAGTGTGCGAGTGCTTTTCCTAATAAATCCATGGCTGCTGACGACACACTTATGGAAGACATGCCTGATTTGACGGAATCTGCCCACCGCACTTTGATCTAAGAGGCATCCTCGCTTTCTCTTTGCCTTTCGTCCAGCACCTTCGTGCTTGCGCTGAAACCCTTATTACAATGGCATCCGCCAGAGCTATTATCGCAAGACGATCAAAGCAGGACACACCGTTGACGTGACCGAACTCTGCGAAGCACCCAACGCCGTCCGCCAGAGTGTCGGGCAGAACAGCGAGGCAGGCCATGGCGTACACCACACAGACCCCCAACCCCAAGGCACAGCCAACACCACCCACCAGAGACAATATCGCTAACGATGACAGTTCAGGGTTGAAAGCATTTGGGCCTTCGACGACCACTGTGGCACCGCCAATGTCGTCCACCCGAACGCATTTATGGAGCTCCTCATGCAATTTCGCAGCGTAGCCTAGTGTAGTGTAGATGTAGTGCAGCTCGGGCATGGGCGCGTGTGGGGTTTAGTAGAAGGAAGAGAAGAACGAAGGGAGATAAAGAACAGCCGGCCTGCGGGGAAAATGCGTTGTACACGCACACACACACACACACACACGCACGCACACACACACACACATATATATATATATATATATATATATATATATATATATATATATATATATATATATATATATATATATATATATATATATATATATATTATATATATATATATATATATATATTGTAGTGGGGAATTCGCAAAGCCATGACCAGTAGGACCATCTCTGAGTGCGAAGCACGAGCTGTAGACGCTGGACTGCTCGAGTACCGTGCCAGCCGGCTGTCTGCCTACTACCTGGCGTCGCTATTAAACTCCCTTGAAAAGTGGTGGAAGTGTGCTGGGTACGCAAATCTGGAATTTCCCAGCCGGAAGCTGCCCACTGCGTCAGCAGTGCCTGATAATACCACCGAGCAAGGCACCAACCAACAAAGTACGGTCTAATCTCAACTGGTTATCGTACCTACCACCCTGAGCCAAGGGATACCTCCTTCTTCAGCGGCACCGAGGACCAAGATGTGGAAGACTGGTTACATCTGTTTGAAAAGGTGAGTGCCGCCAACAAGTGGGACGACCCCTCGAAATCGGAGTATGTCCCAATTTATCTCAAAGACGTCACCAGCCCATGGTTCACAAACAACCGTGCTGAATTTGCCACCATGACCGAACAAGACAAGATTAGGCATATCTTGAAAGGCATAGACGATGATGGTTTTAAAATGTTGCTGGCGAAGGGCCCATGTACCGTATCCGCACTTGTGACCTTGTGCCAGAGCTTGGAAGAGATTCGCAAACAACGTGCATCAGTTCGGAGGTCGACGAAAGCAAACAACTCTCTCGCTGCCCTGGCTGTCGGTGGTGACAGCACCTTGCTGAAGAATTAAAGAAAAAAATTGGCAGCATATCCACGGAGTGAATGATGGAGAGTGGGGCGAAGAATTCGTCCGTCCATTCGTTCTTGTTTCCGTCCGTCCATGCGTCCGTCTGTGTGACCGTCCATGCATCCATCCGGACGTCCGTGCGTGCGTCTATTCGTGCGTCCGTCCCTGCGTTCGTCCATGCATCCGCCCCTGCGTCCATTCATGCGTCCATCCGTGCATCTGTCTGTGTGTCCGTTCGTCCATCTATTCAACACTCCAAGTACCACCATCTCGCATCTTTCCATCATATATTCCCCATGTAGAACCACCGCCATCCAGCGGGCATTCCAAGGACTAAACGAGAGGTGCCACACGCACACTTTCTTACGGCTTGCGCTTCGGGTCTACTTCCCACCTCTAACCACCTCGAGTTCATGGTATATACTAGTTCATTGTATTCATGGCACTGCGGCTCAACGCTCGCTAAACCTTTCTAAAACTAAGGAGGTTACACCCAGCGAGTATAACGTAGCAACCCTTTCTTGTCAGATAGTGCTCAATGTACATGCCAATGGCTGCTGATGGGGATCGCAGCGTGCGCGTTAACTAAAAGCCGAATGCTCCTGTCTCTCATTCCCTATTAACAACCATTGGCATGTACATTGAGCACTATTTTTCATTGTTGAACAACGCACAAAGCAATCTCTAACCAGCACCACCTTGGAGGTCAAAATGCTAGACTTGTTACACACTACTACGGGATCCTGGCCTAGAGCCTAGCCTTCATCAGGATCCTGATGATGGCCAGAAACGTCGAAATAAACCACATTGTGACCGCTCACGGAGGATCTACTTGACTATATATATATATATATATATATATATATATATATATATATATATATATATATATATATATATATATATATATATATATATATATATAAAGTGCGGTAGAAAAAAAAGGTCGCCAAACGCCGCGAAAACACAAGTTTTACGGCCAAACCTCATAAGCGCGAAAATGCACGCGACAGCGACAAGCGACGCGACGTAGATCGGCTCCGCGCGATCAGCGGCTAGCGCAGGCAAACCTCATTCACGCGACGGCTTCGGCGAGCGAATTCCACTGTTGCTGGCATGAGGCCGTCTACTCGCACCAAGAAAACCGCGTAGCGAGCGGTATGCAATTTAAAAATAAGATATATATTGTTGTGTAATGAAACGGAAAGTGTTTATTATTGCCTTGCAGCACTTTTTATATGCACATGCGTAATAAACATTGCGTTATTTCTTGTTGCGCATACGTGACTCGGGCAGGGTCACGTGCACCTATGTAGTCTTTGTCTTTTCCGGTATTTCGCTATTGGCTGCTTGAGCCCAGCACTTCCGGGCGATGAGCGACGGTTTCCAAATCTGGAGAACCGAGCGATCGCGCGAAAACGAGCACGCGACACGTCGCGCGAACGCCCTGTTTCGTCGCTCATAGCGTCGCTCATAGCGTCGCTCATCGCTGTCGCGTGCATTTTCGCGCTTATGAGGTTTGGCCCTTACTAACGTTTCGGCAGGTGGGCCTGCCTTCGTCAGAGTGAATGGTTGCAAATGCCACACAGGGCACATATATAAGCCGCTTCTTTGCGTATCACACCGCAAAGTCATTATCAGTAGTTTAAGAAACAAGATTATATATCACCAAAGGCACGTGGCTAAAGTGCATATACAACTGAAAACGCGTATCATTGTACAACATTGAATTGGCACGTATTAAATACCCTACAGCTTGTGTGCAATGAAACAGGTCTACAAAATAACAAACTGCGCACGCAGTCGCTCACTTGGCCATAAGTTCTGCGGGATAATCGCAGCTTAAGGACATTCAGTAAGTCTTTAAAAAGGAAAAAAAAGTTTAGGGAGATAAAAACAAAATCAAAAAGCAAGCAGAGCAAAATGAATGCGAGTAAAATGTTGAAGCGACAAAGGCCACCTTCATTATGTACGTAATAATAGACAATAGGTCAACATCATGCATAGAATATACACTAGCAAGTAAGACAAAACGGCGATTTACTAAGGCAATATGCAAGTAAGCGTACCCGGGCTCTCGTTTATGCCGTCAGATAGTGTTTTGAATTTATGAATTAGAAATGACTCTTTTACTTTGCGTTCATGGTGTGATTTAAAACCCGATTCCAGTATTGTAGCCCCGCCGCGGTGGTCTAGTGGCTAAGGTACTCGGCTGCTGAGCCGCAGGTCGCGGGTTCGATTCCCGGCTGCGGCGGCTGCATTTCCGATTGAGGCGGAAATGTTGTAGGCCCGTGTACTCAGATTTGGGTGCACATTAAAGAACCCCAGGTGGTCAAAATTTCCCGAGCCCTCCACTACGGCGTCTCTCATAATCAAATGGTGGTTTTGGGACGTTAAACCCCACAAATCAATCAATTCCAGTATTGTAGCTATCATGTTACTGAAAGAATGACCTGCCTCGGTGACATGCCTTGAAATCGGCAAGTTAGGATGGGCATGCACATGCGCTTTATGATTATTGAAACGGTATCGAAAAGCAGTTTCAGTTTGACCTATGCATTGTACATGACAGATTGAGCATTCATAGCAAATATACGACATTATCAGTATCACACAAGTGAAATTGCCCTTGATTTTGAACTTGAAGTTCGTCGCAGTACAGGCTGCCAGTGTTGTCGTGGTCATGTGCGCACACACTTTTGCAGCGGAGCGTTTTAGAAGGATGGGAACCAAGAATCTGGACATTAATGTTCTGTTTGGTTCTAGACGAAGTTAATACATCCCGCAAATTTTTCCTCATATGTACACAACACGTAGTGGTTCTGGAAACGCTTTTGCAAGGCGTTCGCTCTGCATAAGTATGTTGTGGTGTTGACGGAGAATAGATATGACGTTAGGTGCCGATGCGTTATGGGTTAAAACCAAGTTAACCTGTGAATGACTTTTAGGATTTTCCTTGGGGATGCAGAGTGCTGTACGGTCTTGTGCGTCGGCGCGCCTCAGTGCGTCATCGGCTAACTTGGGCGGATATTTCTGTTTAAGCAGTGCAGTGCGTAGCTGGTTACAGTTATTATCAAAGTCAAATTGCTCAGAGCAAATTCGCTTAAAGCATAAGGCCTGGCTGTAAGGTATGCTGGATTTGCAATGCCTTTTGTGGCTGCTTTGAAAGTGTAAATACCTCTGTCTGTCAGTCGGCTTGCGGTACGGTTTAGTGCTTAATTTTGCATTATCGAGACATACTGTGACATCGAGAAAGTTAATGGTCTCTGGTGAATATATGTGCAAAAAAGGATATGTAAGCTTGGGTGAGCATTATGAAAGTCCGAAATAAAAGACAAAAGTTCCTCCTTTACATGTGACCAAATCATAAATATGTCATCAATTAATCTTTTATAATAAAAAAATTTTAGCGAACGACCCGACAAGAATTTGTTCTCAAGGGATCCCATAAACATATTCTCGTAGCTTGGCCTGATCATAGTACCCATAGACGTACCACTTACTTGAACGTAATGCACTCCATTGAATTCAAAGTTGTTTTACTGAAGAATCATTTCAAGCAGTATAGCTATAGTACAGCTATCAATAGACTTGTCGAGAGCAGAATGATCGTAAACCTCAACCACGGACCTTATACCATCCAAGTGCGGTATGCTTGTGTAGAGAGACGCAACATCAAGAGTGACAAGGAGAGCGTTGTATAGGTTAATAAGGTTGGTAATTTTGGAAAGGAATTAAGTCATTAGTATTTCACAGAAATGACTGGACCATAGGGTGTATCTGGTTTAACAGGCTATCTACGTAACGCGACAAGTTTTCTGTCACGCTACCTATGCCGGAAACAATTGGGCGACCAGGATTATTGTGTTTATGGATTTTCGGCAACAAATACAAACTACCAGCTGCCGGATTAAGAGAGATCAGAGAAGCTGCCCTATCATTTAGTCTTTTTTCTCCTTTATTAGTTTTCTTATTGTGTCGTCTAACGTCGCTTTATAATCCTCAGTCGGATCGGCCTCGAGTCATTTGTAAAACGACCCATCATCAAGCTGACTGTTCGCTT